GCTGCTCGGTGTGCACCGGTTCTCACAGCGGACACCCCAGAAACCTACGAGGCAGCGCGGACACGTCTCGATGGTTCCATCGTCGGCAGTGCACGTTGCCGTATAGCAAGAGGATGGCATCGAGCACTCGTTTTGGCAGGCGGTACCCCAAAACCCGGCGAGACAACTACTGCACGAGAGGGCACGGCTCGTGGCTTGGTTGCATGCTACTGTGGCAGTCGAGGCACATGTGGTCGGCGTCGGGCATATTTTCGTGCACGCGTCACCCCAGTAGTTGGTGACGCAGCCTTGGCACGTCGCGAGCGCACCGGTGCCCCAATTGCACGTGAGCGTGGCACCAGGCGCACACTCGGAGGACGCCATACAAATCGATTGGCACGTGCTGCCCCAGTAGCCAGCCATGCACTCATGACATACTGGCATGCCGCCGGTGACCGCGTCGCACGAAACGAGAGCGTCAGAAGCACACGTCGGGTAGCCGACGCAAGCGTGCTGACACAAGTCGCCCCAAAACCCATCGAGACACGCCGGGCAAGCGATGACGTTGCCGCTCCTATCGCATGAAGATGACGCGCAGTTCCGAGGCTGAGAGCACTGATTCTGGCACGCACTTCCCCAAAATGCATTCGTACACGCTTGGCATGTCATGGCTTGCCCGGTAGCTGCATCACAGGATACCGCCGTGCCCGGCAAACACGAAAGAGGCGTCGAGCACGGAATCGAGCATGTTGAGCCCCATACGCCAGAGATGCACGAACTGCACGACGTCAAAAAGCAATGTTGGCGTTGCATGTCGTTGTCGCATTGAGGCCACACGTTACGGCTAGCGGGCAAGGATATTGACAAATCGTGCCCCAAAACCCAGCGCGACAGCTGCCACAAGAGAGGAGGGTGCCACTGGTGGCGTCGCACACGAGCGAGGCGTCAGATGCGCATGTCGATGCAGGTGAACATGTTCTTTGACAAGTCGTGCCCCAGTACCCCGATACACAGCTGGGGCACGCGACCGGACTGCCACTGGTAGCGTCGCAGATCACAGTCGCGTCGGGCGCACAGGGAAAGGTTCGAGCGCATGTTTTTTGACAGGTTGTGCCCCAGTAGCCTGGATCGCAGCTAATGCAGGATACCAAGGCGCCGCTGGTAGCATCGCACGTTGCCGGGACGCTCCAGTCACACGTATAGGCCGGCTGACACGCTCTTTGGCACGTCGCCCCCCAGGACCCTGCCTTGCAGCTTTGACACGAGACGAGGTTGCCACTTCCATCGCAGGTTAGCGCCGTGCCAGACGTACATGTGGCAGTGGGTGTGCACGCGTTTTGGCAAATCGAGCCCCAGTAGCCCGCAACACAGCTGGTGCAGGCCGTCAGAGCTCCGCTGGAGCTGCACGTCGCTGCCGCGCACGTCGCTGGCCGAGTACAAGGTGTCTGGCACACGGTGCCCCAGTAGCCTGCGACGCAGCTCGAACACGATGCCAAGGCTCCCGTTGTCGCGTCACAGGTGAGGTACGCGCCCGACGCACACGTCAGCGATGGGAGGCACACTTGCCGGCAGGTCTTGCCCCAGTAACCTGCCGCGCAGGCCTTGCACGTGACGACGCTGCTCGTGACGGGATCACACGTGACAGCGGTTCCCGTGGCGCATTGCCAGGGCACGGGACACGGAGTTTGGCAACTTGGCCCCCAGTAACCTGCGTAGCACGCTCCGCTGCAGCTGAGAAAGAACCCCGTCGTTTGATCGCAGATCGCAAGTGCACAGCGCGCGGTTGAAGGCACGGTACACGTTTTGGTGCATAATGGGGAGCCCCAGTACCCCGCATTGCAGCTCGAGCATGCGAGTGCGGTGCCACCGACACTGACGCAAGACGAGACCACGCGGCAAGCAGATGTCGTACAAGGCGTCGAGCACGTCGGACCGTAATACCCCGGTGTGCACACGGCACCCGCCGTGACAGAAGCCGCATCATAGACGGACTTGGCGAATGCCGTTGTCATCTCTCGTGCAGTGATGGCGTTGTTGAAGCTGAGAGAGGTCGGGTAGACACTCGAGACACTGGACGGTAGCATCGCAACAATTGATACTGTGCCTGCGGTGGCATTGATGCTTTGAACGGCAAGCACAAAGGCGGAGAGATCGGGGAGACCGAGTGCCGGGCCGAGGCTCCTCAAGAGCGCAGTTCGGTAAGTGGAGCTCGCAGTCAGAACCTGTGCACCCGAGACATCAACGGCAATCACCATCGTCACCAAGTACGGAGGGTTGTAGCAGTAGCTAAGAAGGCTCTGGTTCAAGCTAATGGACGGGAACGGCTGGACGAATTGCGGAAAGGACCAAATGAGCTGAAAATGAAGCACCAAATCGACCTTGTAGATGCCAGCGTAGACACCAATTTCGAGAAGGTGCGCGCCATCTTGGCGTGGACTTGTCCAACGCCAGTGTCGTCAGCGCCGGTAGAACCCCGGCCTTGACGTTCAGCTCGAGAAAGAGCGTCCAGTCGACCGCCGCACCAAACCGTTTCAGCAGGTGGGCTCCCTCCTGCACTCGTGAGGCATGATCGGTGCGTCAAGCTGAGGGTGCTTGGTCGTGGCTCGGGATTGTGCGAGCACACCGATGCCTCCAAGCGTGGCGCCGTCGGAGCC